CAGTGATGTATTTATTGTGGCATGGTTTGGCACTGCCTAGCATAGTAATGAATAAAAAGAGAAAAAAAAAACACATGTAACAGTAACACAGCCCCTTGAATCACTGTCATCGCTCTCCTCATACAAAGGCGCAGATTGGATTATAACCCGACCTCTCGAAGGAAGCCTACATTTTTAAAACTGATTCTGCAGTGGATGGACATATGAGAACAGTGAGAGGCAACTAAACTTTCTTCGATCTTGATCACATCCTTGTCCTCGTGGAATGACTCTGCTCTCGCAGAAGCTAGTTTACCCAGTGATGGATCACACATCCTTATAAAAAGAATTGTTACGTGGTGCACTGATGTCATCCACAAGTCACATTTCATTCTGCACTGAATCAATGGATGCACATAGTACCATTAACTTATTCAACAAAACGAATCAAGCTAAATTGGAAAAATAAAAAGAAACAGAATCATGACTTAAAGACTATCGGCACGTTACTCATGGTCACCTAGATTGGGAACGCCTGATGCCTTCATCTCCAGTTGCACCTTTTCCTGTATCCATGCGAAATGAATCATTTTCAGTTTAATGTTTAATCAGTCTGAAAGAAAAGATGATATATGTTTAATCAGTCTGAGAAATAGAATAAGTATATCTTGACGATGAACCTTCCCTATATCAGAGTAGGAATGATAGCAGAGTTTGTCATAGACTAAATGCAGGTTACCAACATATTTTGAAACCAGCTTCTAATTGCAGTAGTGCTGTTCTTTCAAAAAAAAACATGCAGTAACGCACTTGTTTTGCTATTAAGAAAAAAACATATCTATGTTGCAAAATAGTAACAATTGACATCAAGTTCTTATATAGAGAAGAATAAATGTCGCAACAATTCAACTCCCTGCTTGGATTTATGCAATTTATGAAGTAAAAATTGAGACCCTAATCTCATTAGAAGGTTTTGCAACCAGAGGCATCATAAACGGTTTACTAACTCGGAATTTTGAAATCCATTCTCAGTGAGTATTTATTTACAACTTCAGATTTCTTTGCACATGCATATTACCTTATATGCTTAATTTATGTTTTAAACCACATAGGAACCTCTGATTAATCAATATATGGCACACACATCTAAATCCACCTTCTGTGTGAACATGGCAATGCAGTGGAGGAAATGCAGGAAAAAGGATAGATGGTCTCTAACCGAAGTAATGATTAGGAAAAAGGATAGATGGTATCTTGCTATTTACCGACGAGCGCATAGAGGAGGCTAGAGCAGCAGCCCCTAGACCTGCGAGGTCCACTGCCTCCTTTCCACCCTTCTGATCTGATTGGAAGCAGCAGTAGCAGCAACAGAGCTGAACACAGTCTGTTTTCAACAATCCTGAAAGAGTGAAAAATGAACTTTCAAAAACCTAGAAAACTGAACATCACTTTAGCTTGCTGGATTTTGTTGCTACTCTACAATGCAGTTTAGAATCATGAGAAGAGCCTTACAACAAATAGAATTGCAAGTAAATCATGCATAGGCATACATGGGTTCCCCAAATTTTATATTGCTATAGCATCTTTGGTGGCGTTCTCAAGTTTCTTCTCAAAATAGAATTTCTACAAGAACTGAGCGCAGCATACCCGTGTCGTCATGCCAACCTGTTGTTGAAAAATTGCCACATGAGTGATCTAGAGGTGTAAGGTAGAAACCAAAGTGGATCCTGTCAATATTTTAAACAATACTTACAACTGAGGAGTATGCGAAAATAGCAAGAGAACTCTTTCTACCAGTTGGAAAAAGCTTCATTCCCTGAAAGTAGATAGGGAAAAAAGGTCAGGTAAGCTGCAACTTAAGTTTCCTATTGAACAGGCCAAAAGTTAAGATTCATGTAAAAAGGCTGCATACAACTGGGATAAAATAACTTGAATTACGTAGCATCAAGCTAAGGAAAGATTAGACTTCGTGTAACACCCGGGCTCAGGGCTTAATAGGATTAATATGATACTCGTACCAACAAGTTACAACTTCTTTTCTGGAAGCCCATCTCTTAAGAACTCCAAGGTTAAGCGTGCTTGGCCTAGAGCGATAGGTGACCGACCGGTAAGTTCTTCCCGGGGGCGCATGAGTGAGGACAAAGTGCGTAGAAAAGACTGGTGTTGGTCTGTGAGAGCAGTCTATGTCCTAGGAAAGCTATCACATGTAAGCGGGCCTGGCCTCGAGGAGGCGGGACGTTACATCCTAGGAAAGCTATTAGTGAGGACAAAATGCGCAGAAAAGACTGGTGTTGGTCTGTGAGGGCAGTCTATGTCCTAGGAAAGCTATCACATGTAAGCGGGCCTGGTCTCGAGGAGGCGGGACGTTAAGCGTGCTTGGCCTGTAGCGATGGGTGACCGACCGGGAAGTTCTTCCCGGGGGCGCATGAGTGAGGACAAAATGCGTAGAAAAGACTGGTGTTGGCCTGTGAGGGCAGTCTATGTCTCGAGGAGGCGGGACGTTAAGCGTGCTTGGCCTGGAGCGATGGGTGACCGACCGGGAAGTTCTTCCCGGGACGCATGAGTGAGGACAAAGTGCGCAGAAAAGACTGGTGTTGGTCTGTGAGGGCAGTCTATGTCCTAGGAAAGCTATCACACGTAAGCGGGCCTGGCCTCGAGGAGGCGGGACGTTACACTTCGTGACTGTAGCTAGTGGCACACAGCATTGCCAATCAACTACAGTAATACTGTCATATGAAAACAAAAAAAACAGAGGAGGTACAAATCCCTATTGACACTGAGGAAGCCTTTTGCCAAAGGTATATATTGTAATTGTAATAGTTTAAGTATATTGCTGATTGAGGATTTTTCCAATGCAAATTCGCATATAATCTTCAAATATTCCATAATCCAAATGATAGTTTCAAATAAGACAGTAAGTGAGCTGGCACCAACCACCATTATCAATACCAACCATCAGCTGAAGTGCTCAACTACTACTATATAGAGCAGATCGAAGAGGATTATAAATTACCTGAAAGAGTATAATCAGTATCACAAGGAAAATGCCGATCGTCATTGCTCCGCCATAGTAGAACACTACAGACTCAATGTGTGTGCCACCACCATGAGCACCAACCCTAGGATAGGACAAAGAACACCACCCTATGGAGCAAGAACTCTGCATACACAACTACAAAAGACTCCTGCATGACTGAAATTTTGCAGTGCAGAAAGCAAGGCGGAGATCAAATGATGTCACCTTGGCTCATTAGCTTTGTTGCATATGGGCAGCACCTGAATGAAATGCACAACTTATTCCAGTTTGGATGGTTCCTCCTCCGAAATTTAGACGCCTCATCCGAAACTGAAAACTTGCAGTAAATATATTTGATACTTCTATATACTAACCGATATATTTCTTCATTAGGATTTAAGCACAAGTATTTTTTGCTCAAGCGCCGCAACTGATCCTGCTACTATGTTTGATGTTTCCCCTCCAAATCGACCCTCAAGCCATAGTTAACAACTTTGACCAAATGGAAAAAATAGATAGTAGATCAATACTGATGTTTCTGATTTTTTAACACGGTTTCTTGGATCTTTCATTGACTGTTAGGAGTCGACAACGTTCCTTGTGACCTCAGATCAAGCCACAAATCAAAACTAAAAGAAAAAATAATGGTTAACGTCAGATCTTAGTGCCTACTACTACACAATTGAGGATGAATTCACAATTGAGGCAAGAAAGGAGACAAATCACATTGTGGTACCAATGATCTTACTGCCTACTACTACACAAATGAGAAAGGGAATTCCGAATATAAACCTTCAGTATCAGCAGCATATCATGTCAAAGTTCAGGTCATTGATGTCCGCTTTTTTCATCGTGCTTTGCTTTGGAGAACCCCTGAATGTGATGGCAAAGCTAAGCTCACAAGCAAAACTATATCTAATTGGAGGACTGATGAACCAGAGTAGCAATTTCAGAAATAGGTGCTCAAACAATGCGGAGGACTTACCGCTGTGCGACGGGCTAGGGCAGGTGCCAGGGTCAGCGTCGCGGTCGACGTCTTCACCTTCCGCGGCGGGGGACGCGGTCGCAGCGGGGAGGAGGAGGCCGGGTGCCTGATCGGCGGGGGCGGCTGGGGCGACGAGGAGGAGTCCGGGTGCCGGGGTTGTCAGCATCGGGGACCGCTTCGCAGCGGGGAGGAGGACTGGAGGAGGCTGGGTGCCGGGGTCGGTGGGGACAGTGGCTGGGGCAGCGGGGAGGAGGAGGTCATGTGCCGGGGTCAGCGTCACGGGGCGATGTCGTGTGGAGCCGAGGTTCGTGCGTCGGTTGCGGGGAGAAAACGTGCAGCTTGGGGCGCGGAATTGACCGAGGTGAGGAAGGCCTCCAAGACCGACGGCTGGGGCAACGGCGCGGGTGCGACGGCGAACGATGCCGGCCGGCGACGGCGACGACGGAGGAAGGCCAAATCCAAATCGCGAGGAGCGAGGGCGGGTGCGGAGGAATCCTTCGCAAGAGGAGCGAGGGCTTGCGGGGGGCGACAGCTTTGATTGGACAGGAGATTAGGTTTCCTTCAACGTCGCTGCGGGCCGCGATTCCTTCAGTGTCGCTCCTTGTCATATCGCAAGGGAGGGGAGGGGAGGGCGACCCCGCAACCGCGACGTACGCGCCTTCCTTCGGCGTCGCTGTGGGGTCGGTATCGCAAGCGAGGGGAGGGAAGGGCGACAAAAAAAAAGCCGCACCAAAAAATCATCTTACTTTTGTTCTTCTTAGTTGTAGGAGATTTCTCTGTTTTCCCAAGCAAGACTTGTCTGGTTTTGGAGCACAGTTGTGCCCTCGGGCATGAAATATCCAAAACTGAGTAGAGAGTAGACACTGCTATTTGGCTATTTCGTCGCAAGGTTTTGTTGTCTGGAGACTAAACAAACCTCCAGCTCCAGTTCGACTGTTTAACTTTCTGATAACATCAACCAAAGTGATAGCCACGTGCATGTTTTGTTGAGTACCGATGTTTAACTGAATCATCACTAGCTTAATTGCACGCGGCATCGTCGACGGCTTCGTAGATGACCTCCTTGGACAGCACCTCCAGCGACGTGGCCCTCGTCTCCGGGACGAACAGAGTCATCAGCATGCCCAGGATGTTGGTGCCCGCCAGCACGAACAGCTCGTTCCGGGTGCCAATGCCCGCCGCATACTCGCCGTCAGCGCCCTTCTTGGGGAAAAACCCGAATGCTCCAAGAACCACACCAGCCCGCCCCGACGCCGCGGCGATGCCGTGGCACGTGCATCGTAGCCGTGCCGGGAAGAGCTCAGCGGGTGCGACGAACGTCGTGGTGTTGGGACCGACGTTGGCGAAGAAGAAGGCCACGCTATAGAGCGCCATGAAGCCGGCGATGTGCGATGTCCAGTGTTCGTACAGCGCCGCGAGGGTAAGCATGGACAGCGTCATCACCAAGAAACCGGCGACCTGGAGTTGCCGCCGGCCGAGGACGTCGATGAGGGTGATCGCCAAGCAGTAGCCCGGGATGGCGCCGCAGAGTGCGATGAGAGCCTGCGCGCGGGCGAGTCGGGAGACTTCCTCGACGGCGCTCATGGTCACCACCGGGGAATGGGAGACCCATCCAAGCTTGCCGAGTAGGTCCTTCTGGAGGATGTTCTGGCTGTAGTAGGTCACATCGAGGAGGAACCAAGCGCTCGAGGTTGCCAGGAGGTGGAGGCCATGGCTCCTCAAGAACTGCACCGAGAAGAGACCCCACTTGTCGTCGACGCCTCTAACAGAGGCGTCGATTTCCTGCTCTCGGATGGTGGCGCATAACACCAGTGACATGTCGGTCGCTGCACTCCTCAGGTCTCCGGCGACGAGCGCCGTGTACCGAGCAGTCTCCGGCAACTTCATGCGCAGATAGAAGGCGAGCGCGGCTGGTACTGCCCCGGCCATGAGGATGGTACGCCACACGTAGTCGGCCTCTGGCATGGCAGCCGCCACGACCATAGCGACGGCGTTGCTTAGGAGGATGCTCATGCCCTGCATGGCGTACACGGCGGCGAGGAATGCGCCGCGTTTGCGTCTGTTGGCGTACTCCGCCATGATGGCCGCGCTCAAGGGGTACCCGCCGCCGGCTCCGACGCCGAGCCAGAAGCGGAAGAAGCATAGTGTCGCCACGACGGCCTTCGCCGTGCGGCCAAAGGATAGTCCGGACGCGGCGGAACAGACGGCCACGAGCGCCAACGCGAGGCCATAGGCGCGCCGGCGGCCAATCCTATCCCCCAGCCAACCAAAGGCGAGCTGGCCCACAAACATTCCGCAGAATACGGCGCCGTTCAGCGCAGCCGCGGCATCGGGCGGCAGCATGCCCGGCTCGCCCGGCCTCGCGGAATCAGCGAAGTAGACGCGGCCAAGCAGCATGTAGACGAGTATCACAGAGTAGAGGTTGTAGGCTCCGGCGAAGAATCCCGTGCCGGCAATCGCGGCTGCTGCGAGGTGGTACCGGCGCGTCTTGGCGCGGTCGAGCGCCGCTAGGATGTTGAGCTGGTGCGTGTGCGCCATGGATTTGGCACGGCCGCTCGTGGGGCTCTCTGTGCCACGTGTGGCTCGTGTCGCGGGCAGCGAATGTTCAAGAGTTCATGAGTTGGGCTGGCGAGCTGGTCCGTCCGGTGAGTGTGTGTGTGTGTGTGGCAAGGTTTAAGTCAAAGTCGACGCTATGAGTGAAGTCAAGAAAATTGAAATGTCTCTTTCCAACTGTACTTCAATATTCAATCAACTTATATATTCAAAAACAGAAAAAGAACAATATCTGGGCTGCGGCAGAATCATATTGATCCATGACGTGTTCAGCGAGCAGCTTGCGTTGCGTGTGTGGCATGACAAACTTGCTGCACCAGTATGAAGTTTGAACCCGCATGCGGCGAGAGGTCGTCCCTAGTAGATTTAAGAACAAGAGAGTGGTGGCCCCGTTTGAATTGCTCAATAGATTTGTCGGTGTTTTCGGACCACCGACGAGTAAATTTGTATTTACACGTCTGACTCAGATGATGTGCTCGGAGGACACAAGGGTTTATACTGGTTCGGGCGGAACGTCCCTACGTCCAGTTTACTGCTACTCGTGTTACCGGCACTTAGTTTGCAGGAGGGGTTATAAACAGGCGAGAGAGGGAAATAATCCCAAGTCTCTGGTGAAAGGAGTGAACGGGTGCTGAGAGCTCGATCGCTGCTCAGCCGTGCGCTCGTGTCATGCTCTTGTGTTTTTATCTCGTGGTTCGGTCTCGTCCGGATCTGGATCTCCCTACATGGGGCGCCCTGCTTCCCCTTTTAAAGGCCAAGGAAAAGTGCAAGTTATAGCAGAGGAAAATGAGAAGAACGAGAGAGAAGAAGGCTTCTAGGATCGTAAGGTCATTTTTCTTGTTCATGCGGGTCCCGCTGATTCTATAGATGTCAATAGGGACGGCTCCACGTCGCGACCCTATTCGTCACTGGCGCCATGCACAGGCGTCATCTGCCGGTCATGGTGTTCCATTCCGTCCCAGCGGACGTCGTGGTGAACTGACGCGCATGTCAGTATTTGTACGAGGGTTAAGCAGAACAGCACTGGCACGCCTGACACTGTTCTTGATGTGAACCCTCAGGTATGGCCCGTCATGGCCACGTGTTACTTCGAGGCGGGCCAGTCTCTTCCCTGGTGTCAGAGTTTTGACCCAGGCTCATACGCTTGGACCTAGAGTGGTTGACGACGGTATGGGTCCCCTTCGGATGAGACGGAGCACGCGGCCTTGGGGTCGGGCGAGACGGAGCACGAACCCAAGGGGTCGGGCGAGACGGAGCACGAACCCGAGGGTTCAGGCGAGACGGAGCACGAACCCAAGGGGTCGGACGAGACGGAGCCCGCGGCCTTGGGCGAGATCCCCCCGGCCTCGAGGTCGGGCGAGACAGAAACCGCGTCCTTGGGGTCGGACGAGACGGAGCCCGTACCCAAGGGGTAGGGCGAGACGGAGCACGAACCCAAGGGGTCGGGCGATACCTTTTAATATGTCTTGCTCCATCCAAGAAAGTCAGTGTGGGCGCTAACTTTCTTACTTTAGGTATCCCTAATATCGATACCCGATAAGATTATAAGAAGATCACATCCAACAGGTGATATTTAAGAAAGAATTTTGAAAATCTCAAAACACAAAATTTGAAAATCTTAGAATCCAGGATAGCCTAGATAATAAGAGATGATGTCGCCACCAGCCATGGCATGCCACAAGTAAAGGCTGCTACACCGCGTCTAGAATGCTGTTTACTTCCTCTGTACCAAAAACAGAAATGTAGTATAGGTTCCGAGTTCATCAAACTTTTTTAAGTTTAGCTAAAATTATAAAAAATATTAACAACATTTGTATCATAAAACATTTTTTTACTAAAATAGTCTATGATTAATCTAATAATACTAATTATGTATCATAAAATATTAATATTCTATTGTATGTCTTATCTAAATTGAAAACATTTGACTTCATGGATAATGATAATAGCACTCTTTTGTGGAACAAATGTAGTATTTTTTAGTCAAGTCTGATCGGAGTAGTCTTTTATATTGGTTAGTAGTAGTAGTTCTCGCCACAGGTATGGCATGAGTTTTTCAACAACAACTTCGGCACCGCCGCAGGCTCAGCATGACGCATTACGGCTGGGAATCAAGCAGGCTCATAATCCCAAACAAATCCAAATAGGACCTAACTAATTATGCTATTTACAAAAAGAACTAATTAGATGATATAGGTTTGCAAAAAGCAATCTGTGGCAGAACTCCGGTTTCACCTTTTAAGTATTTTGCCTTTTATAGTATTATTAATTTTTCTTTCATTTCATTTTTTATTATGATTCATACTCATCCTACCTATTTGCTTTTATACATGTTATAAACAAAATGTTGTTCAACTATCTTTTTCACGAATTGTCTGGAGCAAGTTAACTACAAGATATTTGAAAAGGTGTCCAAAAACTTTTGGTAGTATAAGTTATGCTTTGGTAAGTTTTCTAAAAAATAATTTAAGTTTATTGTCGACTATATGGGCCTCGGATATCCTCACTTCCAACAAACATGTCCAACCAAGAGGGGGTGGGCCGTGACGGTGACTCGAACGGTCCAACTGAAAGGGCCCCATCTACTTGGCGAACAAGTCACAAATGAGAATGAGATATACTTAGAAGCTATACTAATCTGTAAAAAGATTTAACTGGATCCGATCACCCTTTCTTGTAAAAAAGGAAACAGCCTCATCCGATCAGGGCTTTCCGTTATAAGCCCTAGCTTCGGACTATAAGAAGGCACACGGTGTCCCCTCGATTCAGCAAATGAGATCATAACCATTCACCCACCAACAATCAGCATCCCTGCTCCCAGCGCAGGGTGCACGGTAGGGAAGCTATTCTCCATGGGACGTAGAGTACCCCGCACCTAAACTAGTATAAACATGTCTAGTGTGCTACCCTCGAATTCGCTACGCTTGATACGCTGATCACTAGTCGGACGCAAAATACGTCGACCGTTGGTGTGACTCTTCAAAATACGCTTGATAAGCATCGTTAGATTGTTAATATCACAAATATTAATATTTTTAATATATTTGGTCAAAGTTTGGATTGTTTGACTCTTCAAAATGCGAGATGAAGACTTATTTTAAGACGGAGGAAATGAATATTAATAATTATTGGGGACCACTATTAGGATACCCTAAGAGGAGGAGCTAATGGCCATCAACATTGAGTCATCCGTACGATCAAGAGCGCGACTACACCTCTTGCTGGGCTCTGCCTCGTCCGGCCACCGAGGCCAGGGGCTCTGCCTCGTCTAACCCTCGAGTGTTGGCTCCGCCTCGGTGGACGCTGCGGCCGCGGGCTCCGCCTCGCCCGACCCCCGAGGGTTGGCTCCGCCTCGGCTGAATCCTGAGGGTTGGCTCCGCCTCGTCCGACCCCCGAGGGCTGGCTCCGCCTCGCCCGATCCCTCAGGCATGGATCTTTACGGAAGCTCACGACAACCACTACGGTCTAGGAGATGTGACCCAAGGTCAAACTTCTGACATCGTGCAGGAAGCGGTCACATCTCAACACGACCCGTCCCCGCGACATGTCATTCCAGGGAACTCACATCGCCCATAGTGACAGATACATGGTCACTGTGCTGCCCACTCCCTGTACGGCTGCTGATCAGTACGCTGGTCAGCTGCGCCGCCCACCGAGGCGGAGTGGGACGTTACGCCCCACTGACAACGTCAGGGCATGACATTGTAAGAGGACAGGCGACCCGCGTGGAGCTGTCCCTGTTACCGCCTGCTATGTCAGCGGGGCCCGCACGGAGGAAAAGGAAGGCCCGGCGACCCTGAGGACTTCTGTAACAGAACCGACCAATTATACGAAATTAAGCAAGAAAATCACCCGCCAGAGCAGACGATTTAGCAAACTTAAGCCCGTATAACCCGGTAATCCGTGAAATCACGAAGGATTTCAAACCAACTCACATACCAGCCAAGATCGTAATAAGTTTAGCGGTCACCATCACATATTCCATAAAAGTTCACATCACAGGTACATCGGAGTTTAAACATAGTTATTACAAACCGAGTTCAAAATAAAGTAGCGGAAGCCATTTGTTCAAAACCACACACACTCACACGGAGTTTAAGTACAGTGCCAGCTGATGATCATCTCCAACAAAAGCATTAGACGAGACGTAAGGAATGACCATGCCCATGGTCCTAAGCATCACCCATCGCAGGATAAAGGCAGTTGATACAGTAGCCGTAATACATCTGCCCATCTGCAACAAGTGGACACAAAACCCTGAGTACGAGAAAGTACTCAGCTAGACTTACCCGATATAACCGAAAATAAAGTGACACCAAGGATTATGAAGGGCTTTATAGTAGGGTAGCTGACTCATTTGCAAAAAAAAACATTTTTAGCATTTCAAGAACCTTTCCAAAAGCATTATTGTTAAGTTAATTATTATTAACCTGTCGATTACATTTGCACCTATACTAGAGCAAGCATGTGATTAAACAAATAATGATAATCAATGATCATTAACAACTTCCATAATGTCATATCCATTATAACTATCCAAGTGTTCCATCAACATTACTACAATGAAGTAACTCAAGTCAAGTGTTCACTATCCAGTGAATGATGGTGATTCGAATCGATTATTAACCAGCTGATAATTTATTCCTTACACAAACCTCACTCACCCACTAAAGTGAGGTATCGGTCACCGAGTCAACTATCCAGGAAAAATCTCGAGTTTGCCAGGAACCACATGTACCCGGGGGCTGACCGACTGCCTTTCGATCTTATCATCGCGCCCCCGTGTCCTACCACGCCTGCTCCGGTACAGTGAGCTGCGGGCAATCCAATCGGCCCGAATAATCTTCCAGCTTCGTGGTCGAAAGGTACGTTATTCAGCCAGCTAAATGTAAGGCATGCATTCAACATGACCCGAGGCCCAACAACGATCGGTCCTTAATCGACACAGACGGAAAGCACTACAGTCCAAAACCCTATAAGTCTCC